CAGCCACATCCCACCCCGGGCTTTGCCCCCACGGGAGCTGTCAGGTCCCGTGTGTGGCACTACAGCAGAACAGGCTGGTGCAAACCCTCTCCCGGCACACCGTGCGTGCGTGGAGCAGGCTGTGAGGGCAGCTGGAACAAATTACCTTTCCCCACTGCAGTGACAGCAGGGCTCTGGAGCGACGCTAAGGGCGGTGAGCCGAAGCAATTACCTCTCCCAGATGAGGCTCCTGTGGTTGTGGGAAAAGCGAAAGGGAAACTATTATGGCCAAATTTTGAAGTGGCTCCGAGCAGACTCCAGCGCCGCAGCTCCAAGGCCACCCGTGCCTGGCTAGCCGGCTTGCAAACCTCTCCCCTGGGCAAAGGAGGGGTGCACGAAGGGGGATGGCTGGACCAGGTGCTGCGTGGTCCTCTGCCCCTCCACCAGTCTGATTACTAAGCGACTCCCTCCTCCTTTGAACACAAGGGCTGGGTATCGCACACAATGCAAAGGTCCCATCACCATAACATCACCATAACACCTTCCCCACTGGCTGGAAGAGGCGCGAGCTACTGCCCTGTTCCCCTGTCTCCGGGTGGAACCCAGCGCACAGAGAGGGTGACACAGTCACCCCAAGTCATGCAAGACATGAGCCACAGGGCATCTGGCTGGCCTTGCATTACCCAGGCTGCAGGCTAGCTGTCTAACCCAGACCACCCCTTCTCTGCCGCTCTCGGTTGTACTGGTTTGAAACACGTAACTCGGACAGAATTGCTCCTGAATTTTTGGTTTGCATGAGAGCAGCCGGGTGAAGAGGCGGCTGCAGTGAGTGCAGTGCTGGGCTGTGTGAATCCTGGTTTCTGGGCTCACGGGAAGCTGAATTTGATGTGTCTCATGAATTCCTGAGGACAGTATAAGCCAAGGATATCTAAATCCTTTTCAAGGATTTTAATTTGATGCATGGATGGATTAAAACACTGGCTCTGAGTTACAAAAGACTAGTGTCATAAGCAGTCACTAATAAGAGCTTCAAACCAAAGGAGCAATAACGCAGCTTGAAGAATTCTGGTTTCGTTCTGTGCTAAGTAGCAAGATTCATTTTTTGAACATATTTTTCTTCCCCATTTGGGATCCTGATTCACTTTCATGTGTCCTCTGCTTCTGCCTGAGAACAGCAGCAGATTTATTCCTGGGTAAATTGTTTCCCCAAAACTTGGTGTTTTATCCTGTGTTCTTCCCAGACCATTAATAGTATAAGGAATCACCTGCAAGAAAGCAAACGACCTTTCTGAGGGCAAAGATCTACCTGGCACCTGGCTGGGAACCTGTTAAAACCATTCTGGACATTTGCTTTTCCAGTGCCATCCGGGGGCAGAGTTTCAGTCTCAGTTTTGCAGCGTCAGGGGCTTTGGTTTCCCTCGCCCCCGAAGAAATCCCCAGTGCCTGGGAGCCGAGCGGCCGCAGCGGGGGTGCGTGCACAGCCTGACTGCAGCTTGCAGACAATTTCCCCCAGGAGATGCTCCAGCGGAGGCTGACATCCCCGGGGAAAGTCCTCCCCGATGCCACGGGACCCTATGCCCACGGGTCACACGTGTTGGCCCCTTCTTGCTGGCAGCTGACGTGGCTGTGCCAGGGCTGGCCGGGGAAGCTGCAGACCTCAGCTTCCAGCGCAAATAAATGTGGTATCTTCCGTCAACGTAGGAAGCTTTGGCTCATACCTGCACAAGAGATGTGGCAGAGTCGCTACCCTTCTCAGCTGTCTGCAGGTTTTCAGGTCTGACAGCATAGGAAGCTCTTCTAGGCCAGGGGTTAAAATATTTGGGAAAAAACCTCCTAACTAAAATTGGCAGGAAAATTCCTGTTTCATTTGGATTCTGGGAGTCCCCTTTGCAGCCGCTGTGTTATAGCAGTTTAAGCATGACAAGGGCTATTAGCAAACCCTCTTTTTTCTTTTTGCCAAGAAATAAATCCCTTTCTGTTGAAGCCAAACATGTTCCAGGTCAAACGCTCAGCTGGTACGAATCAGCGCAGCTCCCCTGAATCCGAGGAAGTGTGGCAGGAGACCCTGCCTGGGCTCCCTGCCCTGTTCCTACAGGGGATGTCAGTGAATTTGAGCTGGATTAAAAATAATGTTCATTATAAAACTAGGAGAATCCTACAAAATAATTTGCAGGAGAGAAGCTTTTAAGTGATGGCTTAGTTCCACCTCTTCTACAGTAAGTAGCTGGGTTTGACAGTCAGGATGTTCTTTTTTACAATTAAAATGAATGGGAACGTTTGGTGCCAGATTCCACTCAGGAACGTTTCCTGGGCAGGGGGAGTTCCTGGGCGCGCTTGGCCTGTTTTTACAAGAAGGCAAAGCCAGGCACAGCCCTGGAGCCACCGCTCCTTCCTCATTTTTCTCCCTTGCTGAGACTTGGGGCAGCGCTGCAGCAAGATGTTCAGCTCCAGGGTTCCACTATTTTGCCTTATGTCCCCATACGTCTCCCAGCAGAGATGAGAAGTATTTGCTGCCGCGGTCGATCCCAGGAGCATCCATGGCAGGCACCCCTTTGCCCTGTCCTTGCTGCAGCTCTGCCTCTGGGCACTGTCAGATAACGTGAGTCCTGGCTCCCGGGGCCTGGGGACGACCTCTGGGGAACCAGAACAGCCACGGCAGGCCCAGACTCAGCTGAAGGCTTTTGGTTTAGCTAATGCGTGTCCCTTCCAGAAATGGGGCTGGAAAGGGAACTGGAGGAAAGGTGAAGGGCAGAGTCGGGTGTTTCGTTTTCTACCAAGGGACAGGTCCAGGCAGGCACTCTGCGCATCCCCACTGCTGTTGAGTCACAGGTTTCCTTGCCCAGATGATGGCTCAACCTCTCCTTCCAGGAGGGTGCAGCGAGTCCCTCACCCTTGGACTTTGCTGGTGCCGGTGCTGCCGAAGTCCCGGCTCCCCGGTCCCTGCTCCAACCTCCTTTAACCCCAGCAGCCAGTCATGGTTTGCACACAGGTAGAAACCAGGCAAACACAGAGGAAAAGGTTTTATGCAGGAGCCAGGAATGAATCCAAACACTTCCTAAACCCCCCCTGCACCTGCCTCCCACCAGTGCAGCCTCCCACCCTGCAGACCGCAGGGGCAAAGGCGCTTCCCACCGGCCGTTTGCTGCCACTGTGAGCCTCATTAGCACAGTCCCCTTCGCCAGGGTGAGGGTTCGGGGGGCAGGGGCTCTCCAGGGAGCCCAGGGCAGTGATTTATGTGTGTTTGCACTCATGTGTGCCAGTGAGGGGTGGGAAGAGCCAAGGCAATTCCACCCATTGGTCTGGCAGGAGCCTCCTGGGTGTAAATACCTGTGTCTGAGCCCGGCTGGATGCGGGTTGTTGCCCTGCCTGGCTTTGGCTGCAGCCCGGGGACGTTGCTCCCCTCTGCTGCACTACGGGATGTGGCTTGTGACAACATCTGGGTGACAACCCATAAATCACCCGGGGGACAGGCAGGAAGAGGTGGACGGAGGGGCGGCGTGTCTGACTCTTCCCACAAAGGGCTCGTTGATACCATCTAATGCTCACGCTCCCGAGACCCCAGGGTTCCCGTATCGCTGCTCCACATGCTGCTGCTGGCGAGCAGCTGACTCAGCCGATAACCGGAGGATTACGGCTCCTCGTAAAACCCAAGGTCAAAAAACAGTAGGAAATTCAGAGCATAACAACTACCCCTAACAAAGGGCTGGGTACAGCCCCAATGTGGAGCATTGGGGTCCTTCCGCAGCTCTCTGTGCGCTTCCTGGGGGGGACTGAGGTGGGAGGTAACGTGTTTCCCCTCCATCCTATTTCTTGGGAGTGTAACAGGAGCGCAGCGTTGTGCGTGTCCTTCCCAGGGCAGCTCCAAACGCTCACAGCCAGCCCCACAGAGCACCTGATCTGGTCCCTCCTGTCCCCATCCCAGCTCTGCCACCCCGGCTCAGTCACCTCCACAGCTGAATGCATCCTTTCACCCTGCACGTTAATGGCAATGGTGACTGCTTAGGATTTCTTTTCATCTTTCACCTAAAAGAAAAAGAAATATCCCTGCTTTCTCTTGCAGAGTTGTGTCTGGAGAGGGCTCGTGGGAGCCCTTTTGTCTGAGATTTTGCCTTGGCATTTAGTAGCACCCCCAGGTTCAGTGGATGGAGTTGTAGGTTCAGTACAGGGTTGTTTGGAGAAGGCACACACCCCCACGTGCATAAACACAGAACTCAGTTACATTTATAGAAACATACCAAAAAAGAGAAGCCTTCCTCGGCTTCCCATTCCCAAATTCCTCAGCAACCCAAACACGGGGCTGGGCTGGAGGCGAAGCCTTGGAGCAGGAGGAGAGGCTGCAGCGCCCACGGGCAGAGGTCTGTGGCTCCAGCCTTCCCCGTGCTGTCGCCTCCCAGGCAGAGCACTGGAGCCATCCTGGCTGGATCTGGTCTCTCATCCATCAGGTACAGCACCCCTCCTGCTCGGGGCTCCTGCTCCACTCCACGGAGCCTCAGGAAGCAGAAGTACATAAAAAGTGGGAGTAATCCCTAAATGAGTAAGATGGCAAAAGATAATTTATCTGTCTAGCCTCTTCCTCTTCATCATCTGACATGGTGATACAGAGAAGCTAGAAAAATATGAAGTCCTTCAAGCACTTTTTAAAAGGAAAAAAAACCCCACCCCATTTTCTGGTCAAACTTTCAAAGGCTCAAGGCTTGCAAGCCACTCAAAGCTAATGCTGGTGAACTGTGCAAAAGTGCTGGCGCGGAGAGGTAGGACACAGAGAGCTCCTCAAACACGAACGTCAAACGCCTCTGTCACTCTGGACCCAAAGTGCTGTAACTGTTCTCTGCTGTGGAAAGCAGTTTGCTTCAGCAGCCGCAAATTCACCACTTCTCTCAAATACCGGGAGTGGGGGCAGCCCCACTTAACCTGCAGGAACAAAACCAAAGGCTTTAGGCTAGAGAGGGATCGCCTGGGCTCACGTAGTCCCAAACTACAATTTGGGCTGGGCACCAATCTCTGGGCTTGTTCCTGTGCCTTTTGGGATAAGCTCGTCATATCGAAAGCATACCACACCTTTCTTATCCCCTTATTCACAGTGGACATGCTGCAACAACACAGTTGGTCCTATGAAAACAGGGCTGGGGTGAATCACCGATTTCTTTTTTTCTTTTAAAATCTGATCTGAAACTCTGATATTTTGATATGCATATTCGAATTGTTGATTTGCATTAAGATCCTCAAAAAAAAGTTGGAGAGGAAGAAACCCAGGGGGGTTTGTCAGCAGCACGATGCTGGGTTTTGCACAGAGTTTCATCCAGAAACGGAAAGCATCCACTTCGCTGCAGTCAGCAGCTGCCAGTGCTGAGCAGCACAGGAAAAAGGCTGGAAAGAGGGTGTAGACATGACATAGCATTTGCAGAAGATCATGCTTAAACTCCCAAGAAAGATAAACTCTCTTCTGCTGCCAGATCATGATGTAAACTTGGTGCCGTTAAAATCCCCGTGTGAACCAGCCCATGAGCAGCTGTGGTTGTGCTCGGCACCAGGCACGGCTCCCCACGCCGGAGCTCATTCATGGACTCCCAGGGAGCCCACCCAGACCCACCGCCCCTTCCCAGGGCAGCACAGGCACGTCTGGGTGCTAGGGGCAGGAATCACCGCTGGGAACAGCGTCTCTGGGTGCTCTTACTCACCGCTCGATGATGCTGTTGTTGAACTGGAGATCACAAGTTACTGACCTCATCTGCTCCAGGAGCTCCTGCATCCTGCCGGGGACACAACCAGCCCCTTACCCCCGTGCTGCTCAGCCTCCTGCTCCCCGCGGGAGCACCTCCTGCAGAAGGGCTGGCTGAGCTGGCAGGGACGCCCCACGGGTCACCGAGGGGGGAATCGCACCCGGCAGGGCCACGGTGAAGGGCTGAACGCAGACTGTCCCAGCCCTGCAGACACAGAGCCCTCGCCCCAACGCTCGCTCTGTTGCTCGTCCAGAGGATGAGCAGCGGGAGGTCCTGCTTCTCCCCGGGAAACCGGGCTGTCTGCAAAACCCTCTTCCAAAAGACTCACCGGAAAGCCATCTCCTGGCGTGCCTGGCTCAGATGGATGGGTGAAGGCGCGGGAGGAACCGGGGCCAAACTCTGTTTCTCTGTCTGGAGAAACCTGTCCAGAGCCTGCAGAGATGAGGAGACTTGGCAGCCCCCAGCAGGCAGCGGGCGGTTTGTGGTGGTCTGACCCCCGGGTGCTGCACTGCCTGGGCCCTCTCTGCAGCCCTGCGAGTGCGGCATGCCTAGCCCCGGGACAAGAGTGGGACAAAACACTCGGGGAAATGATGCCTACGTAGTCACACCCAGCACGTCAACTTCTTCAGAGCAAGCAAAATAAAATAACCAAAGGACCAGGGCATCTACCAGATGGCTGTGCTGCAGCTTGTCAGACAGTCCACCGTGAGACCTGGAGGTGAAGCATCATTTTTCTGCTACTGCAATTCCTGTTTACTGGGCATAGATTCCCCCGTGCCAGGCAGTCCTCGGGACCAGGGGTGCCACTGCCAAAGGTTTACCCATTCCTTGCTCTGCGCAGCGGGGCAAAGCAAGGTCTCCGGTGTGGATCGCCCACAAAGAACCGCAGCAAGTTGTTTAAAAATACTCCGGTGTTTCCCTACTTATGCACTCATGCACACGGTGGGTGCTGGGAGAGGGGAGCAGCAGCGTTATCTGGAAGCAAGGAGAGGCTGAGCAGCAGCATCCCCGGGCACCTACACTCTGCAGGCAGTCCTGGCACTCCATCGTCTCCACGCTGCAGGCGCTGATGCGGTTGCTGAGCTTCTTCAAATGCTTCTTTATCTCACAAACTTTCCTAGAAAGAAAAACGATGACAAAATTCCTAGTCAATGTTCAGCAGCAGTGTGGATCGTTATAATTTAATTTAAAAAAAAATTTTGTATCGTTTTCTGCAAATCTTTCTGGATCAAAGTTAAAATCCTGAAGGAAAGCAAATGAGTCACAACAGTGTTGTAACTATGGCTGCAGCTCTGCTAATAGCCACTGCAGGCCAGGTTAGCCAAACAACACTAACAGCAAATTAATTAGGGAAAGTGTTACTCGTCTGAGAGACAGCTCAAGCCCATCACTTCTGCCGTAAGTGCTGCACAGGCCGGTCCTCTGTGCCCCGCGGAGGACTGGGCATCTACTCAAAAAGGCTCCTGGTTTTGCATTTCTTTCTGCATGCTCTCCTTTCACATCTGGAGCGTGCGAAGACCGGAGTTGTTCCCCCATCGAGCACATCCTTGGGCCAGTCTCTCTGCAGGCAGCACTATTGACACCAAAGCCCTAAAACAGGGGGCGTCTCGGTGGGCTCTGCCGAGGGGGCTGAGCTGGGCCAGGACGGTGTGACCAGCGGCCCCTCTGCTCTGTCCCAGCCCCCCGAGTAAACCCTCCTGGGATCTTTTGGGGGACTGACTGCCCTGCTCCTGCCAGGGCGAGGGGCCCCGGGGCGGAGGTGCCACGCACCCGGCAGGCGTGCTGTGAGTTGTATAAAAAAAGGTTTGGTTTGGCTTTTAAAAAAAGAAAGGAAAGAATGTTTAAGGTGAACGGTCCACCTCCAGTCCCCAGAAAAACAGCCACCACACCACAAAGCCTCTCTGCTAGCAGGAAGAAACTCAAAACAGGACAATTAGAAATGAAGTAACAATAAAGTAAAAATATCCAGTTGTGACTCATGATGCCTTCTCCCTAAGGACAGAAAAACAGATACAAAAATACTCCAGAAAACCACAAAGAAGCTTTTTTCCTCCCTTGAGCAAAGATAAAAGCCCTGCTTTAGTGCAGACGGGGCTCCTGCACTGCACGGATTTTGTAGGGTTCTACACCCAGAGAGGAATCTCACCCTGAGACAAAACTCCCGCTGAAGCCAAGGGGAGATTTCACTCCCCCATGACGGGATGCGGTGGGAGGTGACTGTGGGCAACAGCTTCTGTCCCTGAAGTGAAACCTGCCCGCGGGCGAGGGTTTGCAGCGTGGAAACCCCCAGCTGCACAAGCTGAGGCGGGAAAGGGGAGAAGGCAGGGCAGGGGAGAAGGCAGGGCAGGGGAGAAGGCAGGGCAGGGGAGAAGGCAGGGCAGGGGCAAAAAAAATCCTGAGCACCTGAGACAAACTTCTAGCCTAAAAATCCCCCACATCGGAAATCCTATGCGGGGCTACTCCACATCAGAAATAGGGACCAGGTCAATAGCCGGGTTTAATTCTAAGGCATTATAGAAAATCATTCTCCTTCCGCCCACACTGGCAGCCCAGGGGAATGGATGCTGCTCTCTAAAAGCGACCGCGCCATAAAAATCCAATTTCTGCAACATCATCTTCCTTTAACTGCCTCCCCCTCACCCCTGCTCTTTGCCGCTGTGATAGGCAGCGGATTGTGCTCAATCACTGCAAGGCAATTTGCTCTTTGCATTATTCCCCAAACACCATTTAACAGAAAATCATTCCTCATAAGTAGATCCCTTTGTCTCAATAGCAATTTTGTCCTGATAAAATAACCTCTCCTTGTCAGAGGGCGAGGAAACCAGCTGCTTGAACTCAAGCTGCAAGTTTAGGGGGCTTTAAAAAAAAAAAAAACAAAACTTAAAACAGGGCAGAAATACATGGCATGGGATAAGAACCAGCGTATGCAGCAGGATTTCTAGCAGTCACACAGAGGTGCTGCTTTAAGGTCTTATTACCCCTTTACCAGTCCCTCAGCACCAGTTACCAACAACACCATCTCCATCCGCATCCCAACACTCGATCAACAACAGAGAGCATTCAGAAGCCCTGGTCGTTGGAGGGTTACTGGCAAGTCCCCTCTCCCATCCCCGCTGGGGTCCGAAAGCCAGAGCCCCAAAACCCCGGGAGAAGGCGGGGCAGGGGCCGGTACCTCATCCTGCTGCCGTGGAGGGCCAGGGCCTCCTGGTACCGCTGGACACAGTCGTCCTGGAAAATCAACAGAACCTTCCTGGCCAGATGCCCTAAATTCACCCTAAAACCAGAAAAAAGAGAGAACACTGTTATTTCCTTAAATGTATGAAAATTAACATCACAGTTCATGTGGCAGGAGACCTAAAGCTGGCTCCCAAATGGAGAAAGAGGGACTGGATGCTCAGTAATGAATTTTGCATCAGTGTTATAGAGAAAACAAAACCTAATTATGATGAAGAGGAGAGGGAGGTTTCGGGGCCCAGGGGGACCCGGGCAGGGACGCCCAGCTGGGCTGTCATCCCCACCCCGGGGCACTTCTCAGAAGTCTTTGCCTCGGAGTTTGAGGCAAATGTCCAAGGTTAGACTGGAGATTAATTAAGATGAAGGAGCTGCCTGTTAAACTTCACCCTCCCTGGTATATAGTGAAGTGTGCATTTTATTTCTTGCCCGTGTTAAATTCCCCTGGTTTCAGTGGAAACTGAAAGGAGGATTTTTAAAGGTACAAAAGCCATCAGACACTTTACTCACACTGAAAGTTAAGCAGATGTGAAAACACGGACACTTCCTAAATCAGCATCTCAGCAAATAAATGGCCACACACTGAGTAAGTGGGAGCAATAGCCTGAAATGTGCTTATCCCCCGCAGTCCCACACAGGGATTTGGCCCAACAGCAACTCCCTGTCCCCAGGCCTGCAGAGGTGTTCTCACATCTTCGTCTGAAATAGCCTGTAGCTTGAAAACTTTGCTGTGAAAGGTCCTGCGTCGACGAACCATCACAGAAGCCGCTCGTAGGTGCCCTCTCTCAACATTAGTGACCCAGGAACAATTTACATCCCCTTAGGATTCAACCAGAAACACCAAACACCTGCGTGGCCGCAGCACGGGGCAGGTCCTACAGAGGGGAGACGGTGGGACTTACTTATCCAGCTTGTGTATTTGTTCCTCATTGTAGCCCAGCCCTGGGGAGGAAAGACACCGGTCACCTGCCAGAATGCACTCCACGCGTTTTTGTGTTAATAACCCAATAAATGGGCAACTTCACAACACACAGAGCTCACTCAAGGGGCTTTTCAGGGCTGCAGCCCCTGGGACTATTGTCGTGGCACAGAAATAACTGCTGACCCCGGCAGACTGAAATAATTCATTTTTCCACCAGGCCAGCGCAGGGATGTTCCTGCTGCAGCCCCCGGGGCCGCCGTCCCCGACACTTACGCAGACACGTCCTGGCCTTCTTGAACTGCTTGTGGATCAGCTGCATCTTCTCCAGGCAGCACTCGATCTGCCGGATGCTGAAAGCGGGACAGGAGAGGAGGCGTGAGGCCCCGCAAGAGGAAGGGTATGAGGTTGGGGTGAAATGAGCACTTTGGCATGAAATCCGAACACACTGTAACTAGGGGACACTGCTGCTACCCGTGTCTGTATATAGGGACACCACGCGGTATCACGTGTGCGGGCACAGGGCTGTTAAAAGCTGTTTGCAACGAGGGGCTGTGCACGGCTGTTTGGGAGCACGCAGCGGTGTCTGCTCAATCCAGCTGAGAACAGCAAAGCGTTGGCAGGGATTGCGGTAAAGCTGGCGCTACAAACCTTTTGTCTTCATGCACTTGTTGCCTGTGCTTCACCAGCTCAGACAAAATGCCATCCAGAGCCCCTTGAAAATCAAAGATGTTGTGGGAGCACTGAGAGAGCTCCTCGGCGACCTGCGGATGAGGAGGAGACGTTGGGGCCGGCTGCTCCGAATGCCGCCCGCAGCTGCGGATGCTCCCTGGCCCCGCACGGAGCCGCCCGCGGGGGCTCACCCTTTGCAGCCTTGTCTTCACCATGGCCACGTCCTTCAGAGCCGGCACCCCGCTGCCTGCAGAAACAGCCTCGCACCTGAAGAAAGTCAGAAAATGAATATTCCTTAAGCAGAATATGAGCCAGAGGCAGCCGTCACCTGGGCCAAGAAAATCCATCCCGTGGTGGAGGCAGCGTCACAGTCCCTGGGGGAGCCGGGCGGTGGTTTGCTTGGGCAATAACTCTGCGTTCAGGGTACCGGATCTGAGCCACAAGATGCAACGTGCTGATCCGGTAAAAACTCGCCCCATTGTGTCCAATTCGTTCCAAAATTGTTAAGCTTCATGTGAATTGGCTTTCCGCCAGATTAGACGCTGTCTGCCTCCCTGCAGCTGGCACGAGAGTGTAACGCCGAGCGGTGGACACTGGCAGAGTCAGCAGAAATACGCCTGATCCAGGCCGTGTTGGAAGGGGTGGATAAGCCAGCAGCATCCAGCTGCAGCGTTAGTGCCCTTGGCACGACAGCCCTGTGCTAATCCGGCTGAAGTCAATGGGAACCCTGTGTCCCTATCTTTTTAGACGAAATGGAAATTAAGAGACTTGCTAAATTGAAAAGAATAGAAGAACAGCAATGCAGCAGCAAAGGATTTTCCACTACAACAACAACAACAAAACAGAAAAGCAAAATAACGGTGGGTTACTTTAGATAAAATGGGTTCAGCTTTCCCTGGGGCAGCGCGGGCGGGAATGGGTGCATTGGTGGTAGCGAGGACAGCCCAGGGTTTCTCTGTAATTCAGCCTCCGGTGAATGCTCCATTAGTGGAGCCTCTTCAGTGGAAATAAAAGACATCTCATCATGGCCGGTGTGGTCAGGCGGGATGCTGGCTCAGTGGGAATGCAGCATGATGGGCTGCCAGCCGCCCTCCCCGGCACTGCCTGATGCTCCCCGCGCTCGGCTCTCCAAGGCTGTTTGCAGGGAGCGGGGTCGGCGATGCTGGCCAGACCCTGGAGGGGACCCGGCTGCTGATGCCATCCTGCCCGTTATTTTAACTCTGCTGGCAGCAACAGCTCTTTTTCCCTTTCCCACGAGCGGGCAGCAGCAGCCCTGCCTCCTCCTCGCACTCGCTCTGCGGCTCGAGGGCTGTAACAGTCTGAAAACCCAGGAGCAGGAGCCAGGGAGAGAGGACTAATTCTGGGCTCCTGTGAAACCATGGGCTGATCATTAGAAACTGAAGCAAAGAAGGAGAAACAGCCAGGGTGGCTCATTTCCCGCAGCCTCCACACACAGTGAAAAAGCCTCTTACCTTCCAGCTACCAGCTTATTCCTGGAATTTTACTTATTTCTGATTATTCAGGCACCTTTGAGAGTCCCATATCTTATTTGCAGCAGCCTCAGGGCACCGGCTGCAAAGCCACACTTACAGCACGCGGATCTTCACCTCAGTGAGCTGCAGGCAGGCGAGCACCGAAAGAGCCCCTCTCCTCTGCTCCAAAATCCTCGAGCACTCCGTTTTCAGGTTCCCACTGCCGAGAGAGAAAACAGCCCGTCCAACACGTGCTCCCTGGCAGCCCGACCTCCATCCCAGGGCTGGCCGCGTGTGGCGGGGGGTTAGGATGGAGCTGGTGGCTCCTCTGGCTGCTCGTGAGAAAATGGGGGGCTGGATGCACGTAAAACTGGGTGCAGTTCCTGGGCAGGGGGGCTTTTGCCTGCTGGGCACACTCCTGCCACTGCACAAGAAGCTCCTGCCCCAAGGGAAATGGGTAGGACAGTGAAAATGCACAATGATAATATTAATAGTAATAATAATAATAATAGCAATAATGATGCTCTTTTCCTCAGCATCTCCTGAACTGAAAAAAAGTTTTTCAGTTACTTAAAAGTAACAAGTGGGGACAGGAGCATCCTCACATCACTGAGTGGTACTTTCCTACAGGTCCTCATCTGGATCCAGCCCCCTCGCAGCCTGGCACCCCGTAGTGTCCCTTGTACGGGGACACACGCTGGCCATCGTGCTGTGCTCCCTCCCAGTACCCTGTGAGGATAGCCGGTGGTCCTGTGCTGTCTGGAAGAGGCTGGAAAACCCCGAGCGGTTTAACTCTTAACACACAAAGCTCTCGGTGCTGGGGAGGGACAGGTCACCCCCACGCCGCCCGCAACGGTGGTGGCTCTGGCACTCACATCACCCAGTGGAGACCTCTCACCAGCAGCTCCCGGCAGCGCCGCAGGGCCTGGGCGATCCGCAGCGTCTGGTGCACGGCGCCCACCGCGCTCTGCAAAGCAAAGGGCACTGCCGGCGGCTGGGGCTCCCCAGCCGGGGCCCCCCCCGGCCGCCCACGGCCCCCCCC